AACAATAAATTATGCATAATTACATGCAAGTAACCCTAAACCAAACCCTAACCATATAGTAAGTACATGTAGTTAGTTAAGTAATATTACACAGTACTTACATGTATAATTACACTGTAACAGGGACACCTTAAAATAAAGTGTAACCTTATATGCGACCCTGGAGCACAAAACCAGTCACAAGGGTCAATTTCTTGAAATTTAGATTTATGCATCATCTGAAAGCTGAATAAATAATCTTTCCATTGATGTATGGTTTTTATTGTAATTAAATGACGTAACTCCATTACATGTAACATACTCCCCAACACTGATCGCAGGGTTTGAGTCCCGGATGTTACGACACATACAGCGCAGACATCGCCTGTCAGTGGATCGATATCACAGACGTCCAGCCGGGACGCTACACGCTGAAGGTCAGAAACCCTCCACATGCGCTGCTGTTGCTTTGAGGATCTTCTCAAGGATCTGATGTGCTTTCTTGCAGATTACAGTAAACCCAGGCTTCCAGGTGTCAGAGTCGGACTTCAGCAATAACGTAGTTCACTGCGACGTTCACTACATCGGGAACTACGCGCACGCATCCGGCTGCAGCATGACACCGTAAGGCACATGCTTTCTTCATCCTACCTGAAAGAAACCACCTTGTGTGTCGATCCTTCAATCCTTCTCTTCACAGACATTAGGATGAGAGAAACCAGGAGCAGCAAACACCACCACGGCCTGATGATGATCGCAGACCAGCTGTGTTTACTGTGCAGAGATAAAGCTAATATCTGTGAAAATAATAACGCAGAATTATGACAGGAACCGATGCATCTACCCAGCCAACAAAAACATGTTCTGAGAATGTTTCCTTACATTCCCATTCAATTATGAAAACGGTATTTTAAAGTGTTTTTTTTAACATTCAAAACGTCCAGTATTATGAGCGTTTCTTCTCGGTTGTGTAAACATTAGTGAAACGTTCCATTGTAACATTTTAAAAACATTTTGAGAACGTTACATCTGAATGTGCTCTCATCATTTAAATCAACCTTTTTTATATTTAAAGAATGTTTTTTTTCTTGGTTATTCAGACATTAGAGGAACACAACCAATCTGGAAACATTCTATTGTTACTGAAAAAAGTTACTGAACAAGTTCTGAGAGCGTACAAATAACATCATAAGGACGTTTCCTCAGCATTAAGAGAACACATAGAACATATTAATAATGTTATAAGAACGTTCCATAAACATTATTTTAAGAATGATTTGTCCTAACATTTACGTAACCTTTAAGAAACATTAACATTCTCTGTTAGCTGGGTAATAGTTTCACAGCGAAGCCTTACAGTATTGTCATTTTGTCTTTATTAGTGTAAAATAATGATAAAACTCCATCCAGTCATAGTTGTAGTGTTTTTATCTTGCTTTTTGTAAGAGCCGAGGGTGTTTTCAACTTAATATCTATGTTAATCGGAATGTTTCTACAAATAGTTTGGTTTAGTTTTAATGATTTGTGCAAAAACAATTTTAATAAGATTTATGTTTAGACATATTTATATTTTCAGCCTCTTAAAGGTGCTATTGGATATTATAAGTCACTTTAGATTAGGAGGCACAAACTTGAATAAACGCAGATGAGAATATGTTTTCTTCATTTTCATGTGTTCTTATTAATTGAATAAAGAGGAATGTAACTGTTCATCAGAGCCGTGTGAATATGAATGTGTGTGTGTGTGAGTGTGAGTGTGTGTGTGTGTGTGTGTGAGAGTGTGTGTAAGTGTGAGTGTGTGTGTGTGGGGGAATTTTAAAACTTTTAAAAATGATTTAAAAAGAATTAAAACAGTTAAGAATAGAAAATGATTATACATGAATAAAATACAGTGCAATCAGTTCGGACATCGCACAGTGCTCATTCAATAAATGCACAGTTAATAGATGAGTTTTGAGTAGATTTAAATGTGGCTAATGTTTTAGCACATCTGATCTCTTCTGGAAGCTGATAAGTATGACCTGAACCATTTTACATTAGTTAAAATTTATGTAAAATTTTACTTTGAAAAGTAATCTAAATTTTAATTAAAAATTTAATAAATAAAGTTATTTAAAGTTATTTATTTAAAAGACTCTCTCTCTCTCTGTGTGTGTATCTCAATCATATTTTGGCAACATATTTGTATTTAGAAGTGAGTTAAACCTCCCAAAACCATTTTTAAATGTCTTAATTTTATTGAATTTATTAAGAAAATTATTATTTTTAAATTAATATGATATAGTCTAAAAATAATCTAAATTAATTTCAATTTAAAAATAATTAGGTAAATAAAGTTGAACTACAATTTGTAAAAACAACAACAACAACAACAACAAAAAACAACGTACACATGCAGAAATATTTCTGTTACTGTCAGGTTATAGTTTTTATAGCTAGATGAACATAACAACAGAAGTACATGGTATGTCCCCATTTAAAGAGCTACTGTAAGTAAATGTGTTTATTTAGACTTTTATACTTAAAAGACATGTTCCTCAGATGTGAGTCAAATCCTGACGAAACCTTCTTTATTAAGTAAAATCATTCATGCTGGTTTGAGTCTGTAGTCATTAAGTTACAGAACTGAGTGTGTGTGTGAGTTAGTGTGTGTGTGAGTGTGTGTGAGAGTGTGTGTGAGAGTGTGTGT